ACTAAATTAAAAAATGAATAAACGTAAATTGAAACAAACAAAGAAAAATCTAACTAAGCATATAAAAATAATAGTAATCTTAATTCTAGGAATCGTCGGGTGTCTGTCATTCCGGGAACAATATATAACTCGCGCGACGGGAACGGGCCATTCCAAGATTCCAAGATTGTGAAAAAGTGTACGTGTCCTAAAGGCATAATAGTAAATCAGTTAGGACCAGCCATAGCGATTTAGAATTGATAATAGAAGTGAACTTATTATTACTAAAAATATATTATTAAATGATAAAACAATAAATGAACAAAACAGACATATAAATGAGAACAAAATAAATTTAATTAAAGAATTGATGGAAGAAATAAAAGTAAAATTAGAAATTTTAGATTTAAATTATAATAATTATAATCGAAGAAATAAACGAGGTTTAATTAATATAGCAGGAAATTTAATTAAAGCAATCACTGGAAATCTCGATGATAAAGATGCAGAAAGGTACGACGAATTAATATCAAAATTGAATAAAAATCAACAAAGTATTGATTCAAATCTTAATTATTTAGCAAAAATTGTAAATGATTCGGAAATCAAAATAAATAATAACTTTAAACATATTGTCGATAAAATTGAATATTTAGAAACTAATTCCTATGAACTTGAAGAAAACGATAGATTAAACACAAGAATTCAATATTTAGAAATGTCAGCTAGGACTTTAAACGAGAATTTATTGAAATTATAAATAATGCAATGAATAATGAATTACACCCTTTATTACTAACCCCGACACAGTTAGTAAATGAGTTAAAAATAGTTCATTTGAGATATAATAAAATCATTAATCGAAGTTAAAGCATACAGAAAAGATAATAAATTCATTATAATATTACTCCTTCCTGTGATAAATAACAAAATATTCCAATATTTTGAATCATATCCTTTACCGACCAAGTTGAATAATACCCATATTCAGATCGAATATATTTAAATATATATTGCAAGTAATGACAATAAATTTATGACTTTTGACGCACCCTGTATTGAAATCACTCAACAGAAATTTTGATGTAAACATCAAATTGAGAAACGAAATGATGTGAGTATCAGATCCTTACGCAAAATTTAATTACGAATGATTGTAAAATTGTAAAATTAAATAATCAAGAAAATTATGAAATAATTGATTTGCCATTTGGAATTGTATTGTTATTTTATTCAAAAACTAAAGTTAGAGAAAATGTAACAAGATTGTTAATATCCTTGAACTACAAGGTACATACGTAATTAAACATAAAAATCTATGTAAATGTGATATTGAAGAAATTAGAATTAGAAATTTTAATAATGTTCTTTTTAAATTACCATCGTTAGTTGTACCCCAATTAACAAATAATGTAACTGTTCGCGAAAATCCAGAAATTGTATTACAAAATTTAACTTATATTAATAAAGATAACATTGAGCGATGTAACGAGAAAATGTAAATTATAAAAATACAACAAATTCAATAGTATTGTATATCATAGTTGTAATTGTTTGTGTTATAATCATTGGAGCAATAACAAAGAAAATAATAATAAAGAAAAGAGAAAATCGAAGAAAGAAGATTGTCGAAATCCAGGAGGATCTTTCGACTGAGAGTGGAGAAGTTACAGCTTCGAATCCAGTGCGAATAGTTTGCGAATAGAAAAAGGTATATAAAGCGTCGCATACGTTAATTTAATTGAAGTTCTTCAACTATTGCATTAGAGTGAACATCTGCTTGTTTAAAATAGTATAAATAAGTTCCTTTTTAAAAATCGGTTTTTGATTTGCGAAAAGAAAACTCGCGCTTCACGCTTAACGTGAAGTTAGCGATTTTGTGTTTTACATTTTGTACGCAGGCGCTTGCGCCACAGGTGTTTTAATATTTGTTCGTTACACGTGTTTTTGATGCGGAATTCTATAGAAAGTTGTTTGCTGTTTTGGCCATTTTCCCTGCAATTGTAAGGTTTTTTGATAATTTTGTACTTAGTTACTAATTGTCGTTTGTTTGTTTGTAGTAAAGATCACGCCCTGATGAAGCAATAATTATTAATTGCGAAATATTGGCATGAAAAAATAATTGCGAATTTTATTAACGATCCTATCCTGGAACTTAACTTTAGTCCTTGTAGGTCCATTAAGACAAAGTACAAGATGTTAGTGATAATTGCTACATCTTAACACAGCAGTGTGAACTAACAAAATATACGGGGGCATACCCAGTTAAAACAAAAGATTCTGAGATTGAGATACGGCATTCCTAATGCGATTGCAACCGATAGAGGCACTAAATTTATTGCATCTACCTTCAATGAAATATGTAAATTACCCCACGATGGAGTCACAAGCGACGGGCGTTTCCACCGCTTAAAGGTTGCGCGTCATCCTTTTACGCACTCCTTTCCAAGCAACGCGGCCGACTCAAGGTTCATAAATATCGATCCCAGTCCAGAAGAGGCAAAGTTCAACTGGCGCGTTGTAGGCTCAGTCAACTCACCCCGAAGCTAGCTTAGAGCCCGAACAATACCCACGACGATTTCGTATCCGATCTATTTACCGCGCACTCTGATATGAAAACTTCAAGTCAGCATGTATATTATATAGATTCTTCGTAATAAAGATGTTGCATAATGCCGTCAAAAACATATGAATGCATTATGTGTGGAAAGAAGCTTATGCAATATTCTCAGCTGTACAATCATGAGAAAATTTGTGCTAACTACTGTTTAGTGTTTGAAATACCAGAAGATCCGACGGCTTTAGATATTTTCCATTTATATTTTACGCCTGAAATTATGAAGAAAATTTGTCAAGAAACAAATCAATATTATGAATTAGTTACAAATCACAACCATCTCTTCTCGGGACCAACATCTTCAAAATTAAGATTGCAAAAATGGCAAGAAACAACACCTGAAGAACTTTTTGTATTCTTTGCCCTAACAATGCTGATGGTTAGATGAAGAAGCTGAGTATCAACGAATACTGGTCCACAGATCGTCTTCTTATCACCCCTTGCTGTTGTTACGTCTGCTTCACATCAACAGAATTACAATCAGCCTTCGGCTGATAGAATGTACAAAATAAACCCAATTTTAGATCATCTGCGGAAAACATTCAAAGAAGTCTTCCATCCCTTTGAAAATATTTGCATCGACGAAAGTTTATTGTACTCCAGCCCGCAGCTTTTTGACTTCATCAAAACGGTACTAATGTATGTGGAACTATTAGGAAGAATCGTAAGGGAATGCACAATTTTGAAAAAAAAATTGAAAAGGGGTGAACTAGAAGTTCATCATACTGACAAAATACTGGCTCTAAAATGGTTTGATAAGAGAGAGGTGTTTATGCTTACAACTATTCATAAAAATCAAATGAAGCAAACTGCGATTAGATTCAAAAACAAAAAGTAAATTCAAGTTGCATCATTCAGTACAACTATCACATGGGATCCGTTGACAGATCAGACATGCTGCTCAGTTCAGTAGGATGTGTGAGAAAATCCTTGAAGTGGTACAGAAAGCTCTTCTTCCACCTTGATATAACCCTTCTAAACTGCCAAACCATATTCAATGTCAAAACTGGGAAGAATATAAGCATAGCAGATATTGGATTGACTTTCATTAGAGAGTTTTTAACAAAATATCAAAAACCAGGGCAAAGACTGAAAAGAGGTCGTCCATCATTTCCGTCATTTTCCAGTTCCAGTTCCTCCTACGCCAAAAAAAGAATATCCCACCAGATATTGCCACGTCTGCATACATACCTCAACAGGGGAGAGAAAACGAAGAGAAAGCAGGTACATGTGTGCAAAATGTGTAGTTGCATGATGTGTGCACCCTTGCTTCGAAAAACACCACAATGTATTAAGGTTTTGAAAAAGAAAATTTTTATTTAGTTACATTATTACAAAAACTTGTCATTTATTTATTTCTTATTTACTGTTTATTATTCATCTTATGGAAATCTTTTTATTTTTACTGTTAATTGTTAGTATCAATATATTTTTTCTCTCCTAACGTTTACGTTTAGTTTTATTATCCCTTTACTTCAAAAGTATAAATTAATATTAAAAAATCATTAAAATCGCAAAAAAATACATAACTAATAATTTTAAAAAAACACTTATATTTATAGCAGTGAAAGGGTTAAGCTTGTTAGATTACCATCCACCCTTACGACCAGTACATTTAACTTCGAAGCCATTTGGTCCATGGCTGACTGATAATGTAAAGCTTATGATGAATTTGTGAGATAAAGCGTTAGCCACAGTTCAAAATGACTAAGCAGCAGACACATTTTGATTACTATATATCATTGAGAAATCTAACAACATCTGCTATACGTCGTGAGAAAAAGGTGTATTTGTCAACTACACTAAGGCATATTAATGAAAGAACCAGCTAGAGACTTCTAAAGAAATTAATATTGATAATAAACCTAAACCCTCTATTCCCTCTAACTTAAAAGACGTAAATAAAATTAACGATTTTTTCGTTCAATCTTTGTAAAGAAATTCTGGTCCATGTAATGATTTACTACAATTCTATAATTCTAATGAGTACTTTCCTGAGCATTGTGATAAATTTAAATTTAATTTTGTAGATATATCAGAAATATCATACATTATAAATGGTATTGAGACGATTGGCATTTGGAATAGACGATTTGAATATTATTTTAATTAAAAAAGGTGGGTCTGATATACTACGATACATTGTGGCGCCTTTACCTAAGAAACAGATTCGCTTAGGATTTGAGGATTTGCGTCCCATATGTATGGAAACGTAGTTACGTAAATATATAAATA